CTATGACCGAAAACAATTGATTGACAGATGACCGTTGATATATGATTGGCCAAATTTAGTTTTTTGCCAAATTTTAAGACAGGATTTTTTTTTTTTTATAGAAATTTTCTGAATGATTTGACATTTACATATGATTTCCCTATGACTTTAAACAGAGCGTGCACGAGGAGAAATAGGCTCATGTACGCTCTTGCATTCGTTTAACCGGCGTTCCCTCTCAGGAGCGGGTACAGGGTAGTGCATGTGCATTTTTTTAAAGTGGAGTGGGCAGGTCTTTCCAAAACTTTGTGAAAATCCTCCACTATTGACATTCTGTGTTGAGCAGCTAATGGTGTCGGCCATGTTTTTCACAGAGTCTCTTTCTGGGTGCTTCCTGGTTCTGATCGGAGACTCACCTTTATACTCCGGGGTGAACTCCTTCATCTCAGGAGGCAGAGACTCGTAGAAGCGCTGCTCTCTGCTGATCAAAGGTTTGCACACAGTGTGGTCATCGTAGCGCATCATGCTGGTGTGCCCCCCCACCTGCAACACACACACATGCATTAAAAACCTGCCAGGATTTGTTTCCCACATCTCAGCCTCTTTGCTCCATCTGGACCCACCTGGTGGATGAAGGGCTCCAGAGAAACGCCTCCACCTCCTGGTTTGGGTAAAGCCCCGCCCCCTGCCCCCGCCCCCTGCTGCTTGCTGTCCATGTTGTTGGTTTGAGGGAGGCACATGGCTCCTGGCGGACGCACCGCGCTTCCTCCTACCGAGAGAAAAACAGAGGTGATGATGATAAAGAGGAATATCTACCGTTATAAATGTTACAAACAACAAAGAACCCATGAGGTTCCGCTCTTACCCTGAACATGGGCCCTGTTGTGCAGTGACGGGGAGGGGGGGGCGCAGGGCACCACGGGCTGCTGGGAGCGCACGCCGGCCCCAGGGGGAGGCGGCGCCAGACCGAATAGCCACCTGACAAAGCGTCCAATGGGAGTCCTATCCACCGCAGACAGAAAAGCGATGTGGTGCGGTGGGGGGGAGGGGCAACGGAAGCGGGGGAGCGGCAGGAGACGCAGGGTGTTGGTTGGTCGGGGGGGTCAGCGCTCACTGCAAACAGAGGAGAGGACAGACGGCAGCTTTTCAGTGACGTTTGTTCACTTTTAAACATCAGGAGGCCGATGGTGGATCCATGAGGAGCTGCAGCCTGGAGGCAACGACCAGCTGGTTCCAACATGTCCTCTGCCCTGATTATAGGAAGGATGTGGGCTTGACCAGAGGTGGACATTTCCTTAGGAAGACACGAGATCTTTTTTAGCTACAATATTATGTTTCAGAGGTAAATTCAAACAATCAGAAAGTCTGATGCTACGTTCAGTTAAAACGCCATCAATGAAGCTTCAGCTGCTTCATCTCTGATGCTTTGATCCACATCAAGGTCAGACGTCCAGTAAAGTGAGTTAAGATGCGTCTGATGCTGTTGCTCATGTTTTCAATGCCAGAGAGCGGCTTTGCTATATTTGCTATGATCAGCGGGTAAAAAGTAGTTTTAAAAGGGAAAAGGCCAGAAGTTCGATGGCAAATCCTCCCTCTTCAAGTTGGCGATCCAACGACCAACCCGTCCGTGGAGGATCAGGAATCAGAAAGGTGGAATAANAAAGCGAAGCAAAGCAGTGCTTTTACAAGAAAAAATTCAGATTTTTATTTGATCAACAGCCGATACCGCACTGTGACATCACAAACCAGTAGGTGGCAGTAGTGTTCTTTGACAAACATGGATGCCTCCAGTAAAGCACATTCACATGAAAATGACTCTGAATTAAAAACACTTATTTATTGAACAGGATGGAAGAATTTCAGATTTAAAGAACTTTCAGACGTTTGAATTCTGAATATGAGCGGACTTTTCCTTTAAGCCCATTTGTACACCCTGGCGTTTACTGCAGTTTGAGATTCATCTATTGAGATTTTATGTTTTTTCTCTTAAGGTGGAATTCCTGGCGCCCGTAGAGTCCTGATGCCGACTCTGCGCCTCACACTGCACCTTGAGTTTGCAGGAGGTGAAGCGTTCAGGGCCACATGAGGTAAACGTGCGTGTGAACGGAGGGGGGGGTGATCGACCAGCATGTCATCGCAGTGGGAAATGCTTTCAGGCTTGTCTAATCACACGCTGCAAAAGTATAACCGCAGCGGAAACAAAAACTTATCAGATCTTCAGTCGCCGTGTAACCTTGACCAAGCGAGGGCCTCGTATGCAGGCGCTGTGTCCAGACCAGCGCACACAGTTTTCCCATGAGCAAAGGGTTTCACTCAGAGAAGCAGACTGTAAACATCAGGTCACATCTGCTCTGGGATCAGCATAACCTCTGAGACTCTCCACAGCCGCCACTCCAGCAAATGTGCCTCCAAGGAGCCGCAGTTTCCTCATCTATTGGGAAACCGTCCGCTAAACCAAACAGGTCCAATAGTTAAGTTTTGCTTCTGAAAAAGCTGAACAGAAATGTTACCACCTTTATATCGACAATTTAAACTTAAGGCAATAACATCTCTGCACGCAATCTGTGCTTGGTGACATGGGAGCAGCATGGTCTGTCCCTGTATGATGGTGACAAGCAATGCAGCTTCAAAGCTTTCACTGCAAAAACAGATCGAAAATTATCTATCTGCCTTTTATTTGAGCAGGAAAATATGATGATCTACCAACAGAAAATACAATAAAAACATAAATAATTAACACATCCCTATTTTCTACTATGGTTGTTACCATACTAAAATTTCACACTTAATATGGATATTCAGAAGGATATTTTTATTTTACTTGCATGGTGATAGAAATCTAAAAAAAAATCTATCTGAAAAAAAAAAAAAAAA